GAAAGCCTTCAGGATGGGGGGTAAACCCCCTCCCGTTTTTCCCCGGGTTTTCGGCAGTAGGCCGGGGTCACCGCCCGAGGGGGGGGGATGGGGAGCGGCTTCCTGTTGGAGATGGAGGGGGAGGAATTTGCGGTCGCGAGGGCGGAGCGGGGGGGTGAGTACTGCGCGGGTGCCGACGGCCGAGCTGGCGGGGGAGATGAGTGGAGTGGGCGAGCCGGCCGGGGCGCCGTCGGGGAGGAGCCCACGCCGGGAACGCAAGGCGCGGTGGAACGAGGCTTTGCGGCGTTTCCGGCGCCGGAGGCACACCAGGACGAAAGCTACCAGTAAGATGAGGGCGAGGACGGAACACACCGCGATCGCGGCCTTGCCTTGCCCTGTGAGGTTGCTCCCGGATGTCGTGACGCCGCGGGCGGGGACGAACAGAGTCGGGAGGGGCACGGAGCGGGCGGAAGTACCACGGCCGGAGGACCTGTGCGCCCAAACGGGGAGAAGCCGCGCCGCGGGCAACGGTCGGATCGGGGCCGCCCCGGCGCCGGGGAGGCGCCGACGGGGGCGGAACAAATCTCGGCGATTGTTCGACGGCACGAAGGCGACGGCGGCGGCCCCGGGCGAGAAGGAATAGAAGCCGATACTAACCAGAGTGGTTAGCCCTGAATATCCCTCCAAGACGATATCAAGGGGCTCACTTTTGACAAGTGTTGATGATGAGGTCGACGGTCGCTAAAGCAATCCTTAGCCCGAGACACCACAAGCACTTGGTGCCATACTCACGATCTTGCCCAAGCCCTCCTGTCTGATTTATGCCCACGCCGCAGAAGACCGAATCGCACCAGTACAACGACCAGAAATCCTGCAATGGCACGTTTCGGTTGAGAACCCCGCACCCTTCAACCCATCCGTTGTTCCCCTGCCAGCCCTTCGCCACTGTCCGTAAAAACTGCGCTTTGCAATTACGCAGACACTCTCCGGGGTCCTCCTGCCACCGCCCTTTCATTATTTCGGCCGTGTTGATGTAGCACTCGCAGGCGTGGCTGGCAGTCTCGACATCCCTTCGAATGTTCTCCATATCTGGCGTCTGACGGTAATATTCGAGCCGAGTGATGTCCGCTGGAAAGGCAGGCAAAAAGTGTGGAAGCGGCAGATATAACGAGTGACAGCTTGTGACATAATCCCAATATTGCCTAAACCGCGAGGGGTCGATATATTGTGCTGCGCAGAAAACCGGAAAGTGGTTAACAAACGAACGCGGCAGACGAATAGAATCAACCAAGGATCCAAAGCAAAGTCCAAAGAAAGAGAACCGGCTGGCGACGAGAACCTGACACTCAACCGAGGGCTGCACAAGACAAGGGCGTCAGAATGCAACAGATTTCACTCTCCAAGAGAGACAAGATCTGAGATCAGAGAGACCAGAGGCGCACCCCTCAGGGGGAGCACGGGCGCGAGGGCGCTCCCCGAGATTATATACCTCAGCACACCACAGAACGAGTTGCCGTAGCGCGTTGGCGAGATGCCCCCCCAGCAGGGTTACCGCGTCACAGCCCTCGAGCCGAAGGCCAGCAAAGAAGACCCTCCTCCAGGCGACACCGCAGCACCAGGCCAGCATGTACGGACAGGCACAGCACAACGTCACTGGCTATCCGGGGAGAGAGAGAACGGGACACGGAAACAGGAAAGGCCGCAGCCATACAAACACACCACACCACGGCCACGGTGTGATACGCGGTACGGTACCGTGTGTGCGTGTCTGTACGAACGGATTGGGCGAGCGAGTCGACCTTGGCCAAGTACATGTACAGGTGATAGCAGCGTACCGTACCACTGATACACACGAATGGGATGGGATACATGGATGGATTGATGGTTTCCTTGCAAGAAACAAGATACGCACGTTACACCTCCCGATGCACCTCCCCGACACGCAACGAGAATAGCGTGATCCCCGTACGAGGGCGGCCTCTGGCGGGAAAGGGGGGTGGGGTGGTTTGAGGTGGGAGTGGCCAGTGAGTGATACGGAGCTGTGTCTACCCGCGTCGCTCACCCCCTTCCTCCGTCTTATGTACACCTCGTGTGTGCTGGGGAAGGGGGGAGGGAGGCTAAGGAGTGCCAGTTGCTAGAAGGCGTGGGTAGGGCGACAGAACGCCATATATGTGGCTCGCCGTCGGTCAGTCAGGGCTGAAGATCTCGAGAGGCAAGCGCGGCTGCATATCATGCGTATGCTAGACATCTCGGACTATGTAGGGAGTTGATCCATCTGTATGCCGATCAGATTCGTCAGATGTGCCGCAGCGATTGTTGATCTCGGGATGAGCCATTTCCCGTGGCCACGGCCCGCGGATGGGTGGGGTTGACCCGATACGCTTCGGTGCCTTGGGCAGCTCATCGGATCAATGTTGACGTTGCCCGACAACGGCAGCGCAGGTGATGATTGGACCTGAGGTTGGGGTTTGTCGCTCTCCCACAGACTGACCCGTCTCGCTCACAACGGACGGCAGGGCATGACGGGGAGGGCAGTTATCGTCGATGTCAAGTAAGCAGAGTACATGCATTGCCCCCAACGCTAGTGACGATGGTGACCAGGGCCCGAGGTGTAACATGGTAGTGAGATTGTGCGTGGGCCTTGTACCATCGGGTGCTGCATTCGTAGCGGGAACTTCATCTCGTCAGGGAGATTGTGGACCCTGCAGTGCGAACGACGGGTCTGTAGGAACCGCCGAAGACAGTTTGTCGTGTCCAGTGAACTCCTTCGAGATACAAACGAGGACTTGTCAGGTCGGCATCAATACCATGCTAAAATGATGTGTGTTCTCTGTTCTCCTCAGACTAGGGTATAGCCGGACATCAAGACTTGCATTGTTTGCTCCCCGGCATCGTCTTGCATCCACCAACGGAAGGCCGAGCTGGGCGTTTGTACCCATGCCTGCCCCGTGACGCGTCGGAAAACCAGTCAGGTCGGTTTCACCGGCCTTTGAGATTTCTTCACTCATCGCATTGCATTGCATCACGTCGCATCCCCGGGCCTATCCCAGGATACGGTCAAAAATACGTCCGGGAAACTAGAAGTTGTCAGCTTCGGGCGGGTTTTCCTTCGTGTTAGGCAGGGTTTTGTCAGCTGCGTGATGTGCCATGTGGGAGCTGAGATCAGCGTTCTCGAAGCTCAGCCGTCAACCTGGCGGGGTTTTCAGCGGCTTGATACATATTCCGTGCTTCTACCCGCGTGTGGCGCTCGAGTGACGAGAGGCGGTAAAGCTGGGGCTGGAGAAGCGGAGGAAAGCTGCTCCGTTGTGACGTGTCTGAGGATGGCCATGTATGATGAAGGTTTTGGTGCAGACTCAACGCTCCATGAATAACATTGGATGGCGACGGAGCTCTTATTTCGAGGCATGGCCAACCAGGATCGGAGCCTCGCGAATATTCAGCCCCAAAGGCAAACCACTTATGTCCGTACACATGGCGCGAAACGGGGCGGCTTGCTTTCACGAACGTCCGCGGGAAAGCGAATGGGGCTGGTCGCCAAGCCAATAGCCACGGTGTGACGGATTCTGTGCTCCCAGCTAAGAATATTCACCATATTCCTCGAATGTTCGTTTCGGGATCTCGATTGTGAAGTCAGATCCGGGTGGAGGTGTCCATACAGTGTAGGCTGATCTTGATGGGGCGAGCAACGCATGCTACATTTTTAGCGACAAATGGCTCATACCACAACTTTGATGGGTTGACGAAGGAACCTCTGCCGTCGGGGGCTAAATATCGGGGTTTGCTGGTGGCTGGTGAGGGAACGCTCATGAAGGATGGAGGTGCTTCCAGACAGCCCACATGTGAACGATTTCCGGGATGCCAGTATTCTTGTATCAGGAAACTCAACACATGGGGAACCGCGAGGAGGCTTGGCTTAGTCCCCAAGTTGTGTCACAAGTAGCGACTCCAGCGGGGCGACCGCATTCCATTTCAGCTTTGTTCCTGATATCAGGAGAGGGAGTCCGATATGCTGGCGCGATTCGACGGCAAGGAGACGCGGACATCTTGCCATATGGTTAATGTACAGTCTAGGGAAGGCAAGACGGGACTTTCCCTGGAGCTGCCAGTGATGTATCCAGGTCGCCTCTCTCCCCTCCGCAAGCAAGAAAGTCGATGGTCAAAAGTGGCCCATGAAGGCGAACCGCCGCCCCTCAGAGTTGATGGGGCTGCTCACCCAAAACACCCAAGCGTTGACCGCCAGTCAACTGCCCGAGTCACCGTGGACTTCCGCCAAGTGCCTAACCGCAGTCGGTGAAATGTACGGTGAAAAAGAGTTGGACGGTTCCGAGACAACGTTTTAAGACACAAGAAGCGGCTTGAGATCGGCCAACCTAGACCACACGTCCAAGTCAACCAGTCTCATCGAGTCCCGGCAATTGATTCCGGCGATGCAGACTCCATGGCGCCATCCCGCACGGATAGCGGTGTGCTGTTTCGTCGCCTTCGCGCGCTTCAAGAGTTGTCTCATGCCATCGATGATCTTTGTTCCAGATTCCCGTGCCTGGAGGGATCCAGACTATATGGGGGCTATTGCCGGAAGATTCTGTCCGACGGTTCCATACGCATGGAGCATAGGTAGTCTCAGAGTAGCGGAGATCTCCGTCCGTTGTCTCGCCGCGATCTTGGGTCACAAGACCATTTTCCTAAGCGGGAGGGGTGGGTTTCAGAATATACAAAAATAAAATAAAATAAAATAAAATATTTAATCTGAACTTGGGAGGCGTGTCTTTGATATCAGGGAGTCGTTTTCAGCTGTGAAGATTTGGGGAGGAGGGACGGATGTGAGTTCGCAGATGCAGATGATGCGGTGGCAGGAACGAGATGCATTGGCACCAATTCCGGCCGAGGTGTCCGAGTCGGTCGACCTCGGCCCACCTAATTTCCCCGCGCCGGTTGCCTATTATGTCCCCGGTCCGGTTGTTAAAGAAGGAAGGCACAGGAAGCCAATTCAGTTGCTTGTACCACTTTCTAAAAATTGAACTTTCTTACATTGTGCATGAGGTGACCCGAGAACAATGTCCGACGCAGCGAAGCGCCGAGTCGAAGCCATTGGCAACCAGCTCTCCGGAAGCTCTATCCCGGCTGTCTTCAAGGTCGCACCAACCGGTCCGCGGGTTGCCGACAAAGTGGTCATCATCACCGGTATGTGTATCACCGCCTGAGATATTCGCCGGATTGCATCTGGAAACTCACCGGAACCAAGGCGCAAACTCCATGCTGGGCATTGGTCGAGCATCCGCCCACCAGTTCGCAGAGCATGGCGCCAAGGCCATCTACATCTGCGACTACGATGACAGCAATCTCGAGGCGCACAAGCGCGAGATCAACGGCTTGTGGCCCCAGGTCGACGTGCACACGCGGAAGTTCGACGCCGCCGACGAGAAGGCGGTGAAGGAGGTGATCGACGACGCCGTCAAGCAGTACGGCCGGCTCGATGTCTTCTTCGCCAACGCCGGCACCGTCGGGCCCCATGCACTCTTCAGCGAGATCGACGCCGACGACTTCATGAACGTGCTCCGCGTGAACTCCCTCAGGTCTGTCCCCTCCCGCCCCTGCCCCCCCGCCCAGACCCGCCCGCCTCATTCTTTCACCTGACTGACCGTATGTCTCAGCGTCTTCCTCGCCGCCAAACACGCCGCGCCGGCCATGCAGCGGACCTCGCCAGCCAAGCCCGCGGCGTCGGGTAGCATCATCGCGACGGCGTCGGTGGCCGGGCTGCGGTCCAACGCGGGCAGCACGCCTTACTCGGCGTCCAAGGCGGCGGTGGTCTCGATGGCACAGACGGTGTCGTACCAGCTCGCGGGCACGGGGGTGCGGGTCAACGCGCTGTGCCCGGGGCTCATCGAGACGGGCATGACGGCGGTCGTGTTCGACGCGGCGCGCGCGCGCGGCACCGAGGGCAAGATCGGCCAGCTCAACCCCCTGAAGCGGGCCGGCCACGCGGACGAGATCGCCCGCGTGGCGCTCTTCCTGGGCAGTGACGAGAGCAGCTACGTCAATGGCCAGGCGTGGGCCGTGGATGGCGGGTTGAGCGCCGGCCATCCGTATGTGCAGGGGAGGATGGGGTGAGGGTTGGGGGTGAGGGGATTATTGGCGACTTTGGATAGAAGTAAACATATATTGTTATACATTGCTATATCCTTTTTGCAATATCAGAAGACATTATATACGGGATGCTGTCGTTGCTGGTCGGGAATTTGAGCCTCTGAAGGCTGGACTTGTTCATTTTGTGGCGTGCAAATGTCACTGCTATGTTTAAACTTGCCGTCCTTGATCGGTTCATACCTCGTTACTTGTCCAATATTCATAGTTAATTGGAAAACCAAAAGACCGAGGTTGGGTCTCAAAACAGGGCTTTCGAGCCGAGAGCCGGTACCCCCATCCTCCCGTCGGTAGCCTCTTTCAGCTCTGGCATAATGACTTTTCAGTTGTGTCGCGTGGGAGCGCGGGATGAATCTGGCCTGTGCACCAATCGCCAAGATCCTATTCTGGCCGGGCGCGGGATGAGCTGCTACTCATTGTGGAGCCGCAGTCTGGGGTGCATGGGCTCGAGATGGGTCCAATGCGTTCAGAGTCGGATTGCTGCGGAGCAACTGCCCGAGGTTGGATCGAGTTTGGGCGCAACCAATTTTGGTCCAGGAATCCCCTCAGGTGACGGTCTCGCTCGTCTCGTCAGTTTTGCATTTTTTTTTTTTTTTTCAGGGAGGCCCGGAATGCATCGGGGATTGCAAATTCAACTTGCCGGAGATGACGTCGTTGCATTGTGCTGACGTACCATCGTACGAGATTACAAGCCCTTTGTTGAGAGCTTCAGGGTTGAAGGAACCAACGATGTCCGACGTTCGACTCTCAATGTTGTGCTGCACATAAAATGGAAGCGTCTTGGCTGCAGCTCGGTGGTCTCGACGTGTCCGTCGTTGCATTGGTATTTGAAACAGACGGTGCATCGGCCATTTCAGCGAATTGAGAGGTTTTAGGGTTGCAGTATATTTGTTGTGGGCATTGCCGGAGAACTTCCTTCCCCCATTCAAAAACATGAGATCTGCAATTCGTGACACTGCCCCCAACGCCCCTTGATGACTGTATCGTGTAGGAAGGTTTGCTGGCCACGTTGAGCCTTCAGTTGCCAGTCGGCCCAAGTGAAGCAAATGCTTTGTGGGGAACGGCCCCAGCACATGCAAGCGGCATTTGATGCCAAGAGATTTGCACTGCGCACGATGCGGGGGATCAAAAGCAAGTGAGATTCAACGGTGCAGCCACTGCAGTGTCTCGAAATCGAAGCGACTTAATTAATGATGAGGTAACGTCGACCGCTAATGCAAATGTACCTAAACGGCCCATGTTCAACCCCATTGCTTTGGTTCCAATATTGAGTCACGCGACGATGAACTTGATTGAGATCACAAGGCATGGGTACAAGAGAGCTTGGTGTTGGGATGAAAGAAGCTCAGGGAAGGTACCCCCTGGGAAATACACCCGCAGGCCTGCAGGACTCTTGTGGCCGCCACGCTGGAACCGCCCCGTCTGAATTAGGCTTAGCGTGGCTGATCTCCAGCTGTTGGGTCTTGAATGGGGGTTGTACATAAGTAGTTTCTCAATTCCGCAAACTTGTGCGACCGAAAAACGCATCACCGTCCCCCGGACCGTCGTCAAAGCCCAGTGGCAAAACCGCCATTCATCGCTCAAGGCACTACTGGCTGCGTGGTTTACCGCCGACCCGCTGTGTCTCGGAAAGAAGAAGAAAAGGAAAGGTTTAATTGAGTCAAGGCTCCGAGCACGGTTGCCCATCCTCCCACGCCGTGGCTTGCCCCGTTAGTTTTAGCGCGTCCCGTGCTCAGTGCGGCACTCACGCCTTGGAAAGGCCCAGAACAGAACCCCCACCTAATCACCGATGCAGTGCTCTGACCATCTGCCAACAAAAGCAGCTCCTCTGCTGCTTCTAATTTTGCCTTGCACCTTTCATCCGCAAAAGTCACCATATTTTTCCTTCTTTGCTCCCTTCAATTCACACGCTCAACCCGCGTCCTTCACTGCGTAATTCAGCGTCCGAGACGCCTCGCTCTGCTTTGCCTCGGCATCGTCAGGGTCACATCATTTCATCTTCTGGTTCTCGATTCGAATCACGGGCCGTGCCCCCATCCCAAATCAACAATTTTGATTCAGCTTCCATCATGACCTTATAACTAAGCGCGGTCCTCACCTTAGGATCCTTCCTGGATCTTCATCACGCTTTCAGCCGTTTGGACACTCTCCTCTCCTATCCACCGCGAAATTTCGCCACCCCATCTTCTGGTCGCCGATTCGGCTTCGCTTGGTTGACAACCATCAATCCGGCCCATCCAAAGGTCTAACCCACGCGAGACCTCTTACACTCGCCCACCTGCCTGACCGCCTTGGCTGGACCGGGAATAGACCGAGTTCCCATCCGAGGATTGTAACGCCACCCACCGCCTTCCAATCTCTTCCCGCCATAAAGTAGAATGTCCACCAACGACAAGGCGGTGTCGAAACGGACTGCAAGGCAAACGGGGGAGTATTCAGAGAGTCGTATGGCGCGGCACGACGAGATGGCATCCGAGCCACTCGAAAGGCAAGCTTCGAGATCTACCGTAGCGACACGCTGCACCAGTCTGGAGCCCTCTCCGATGATTCGTCCCACAGATGTACAACAGGAAATCGACACCTTGGACCTGGATTCTTTGGAACGGAGTAATTACAAGCTCCGGGATGCATTCCATCCACCTACCGCACCCCGGACACTCTGCTACTCGACGCACGAGCTTGAAAAGAACCTCCCCGCCGAGAGCCGGCCGGCCAACTTTGGCATTGTGGTACCAGGCGTTTATCGAAGCAGCTTTCCACAAGCCGAGGACTATGCCTTTATCCAGGGTCTTAAGCTCAAAACTATTGTGTATGTTTCACGGCATCGGATTACGGAACCGTACTAACGATGCTCGCAGGACGCTGGTGCACAAGGAATTCCCCCGGGGTTACGATGCTTTCCTCCATAGAAATGGCATCCAACATGCCATCTTCGACATGAAGGGCACTAAGAAAGAGTCAATTCCTGTCGCGACTATGGAGTCCATTCTTCGCGTGGTATTGGATCGCCGAAATCACCCCTTGCTCATCCATTGTAACCACGGCAAGGTAAGTTTGGATGTCCCTGCCATGCTTCGACCGGGTAACTAACTTTGTCAAGCATCGCACCGGTTGCGTTATTGGCGTTATCCGCAAACTTTCGGGTTGGAACCTGAGCAGCATAGTCAACGAGTACAAGGCATACGCCGAGCCGAAAATCCGAGAGTGTGACATCGAATATATCACGGGTTTCGAACCGATCAACACCTTGAATCTCTTTCGGGACCCGAAAGTGCCCTTTCGCGACCCCCGCTTCGCCCGGGCGATCATCTTCGCCCTCGTCATCCTCATGATCTGGTTCGTCACGGACCTCGCAGTCGACAGAAACCGGGATGGGGCTGAAGCACGGGTTCCCAAGTGAGGACCGAAAGGCTCCGTGATCGTTCGGTTTATTTGCTTTGCCACGTGTCAACTTTGATTCGCTGGCCAAAGCCGAAAATCAATGCCCATCTTTACTACCTATCACCTGCCACGACTTGGGAGAAAAGGGGCCGCGTCCAGGGCTTTCCTCGATAGCGAGAAGACGGCCGCTGGAAACGTTCAGGGTTGCATAGCGTTTTTGGCTTAGATATGCCATGGGGACGTTCGATATCATACATGGAACTGGGGTCACATAAAGAAGAGGGGGGTTGGAGCGGAGACTATCAAGTGCTGAGCCGTCTCCTGGCGTTCAATGGCGGGTTTTTGTTTTTTATTTTCTCTTATCTCCTTTGTCACAACTAGGAGGGTAAAGATCCTGCCCTTAATAGCCGTGTACTATACTCCGCCAGCAGTTTTTGGAGTATCCCCTCTTGGAAGCTGGCAGAGCCCGGTTTGCCATGGCATTGGACAGGCCCTGGTTACAAATACAATAAATTGTGTTAAAAATGTAAGCCGAAGACGCGTCCGTGATCAATGTCCTTGATTGCACTTCGCTACCTTAACCTTGGGGCCCCAACGCCTGCCTTTCCTTTTCCGTGCCAGCCCCTATATCGCCCAATGCTGCATGCCCATCCACACCATCCCCATACCCATACCTGTCCACACCATCTATCCATTCATCCACCCCATCCACCACCACCCCCCTCCCCCAAACCCTCATTCCTTATAAACCCCCCACCGATTCACCTCCCTCCTCTCCGCCTCCTCCCTCTTCCTGTCCCCCGTCGCATACGTATAAAACCCCGCCCCGGCATTCACCGCGCCCAGCCCCATGGCCGTGCCCCGCACCACGCCCCGCACCGAAAACCGGCTGCGCAGCGACGCCGGCCGCCGCCGCGCCGCCAGCAGCGCATACACCCCCGACCACGCCGCCGTCATCCCCGCCCCGTCGATCTTAACCCCCGCGAGCGTGAGGTAGCTGCTGAAGATGAGGAGGGGAGGAAAGAGCATGGGGAGCGGTTGGAAGGGGCGCGCGTGGAGGGAGATGATGAGGGTTGTGAGCGTCATGGGGGGGATGGCGGATGCTAAAGGGAGGGGGAGGGGGTGGTTAGTGTTGGGTTGCGTTGAGGGAGGGGGGGGGAGTTGGGGAGGGGAAGCGGGGTGGACGTATGGACGTACTTCCCCATGCCCGGAGTTGGGAGCCGATGCCTAGGGGCGTGTCGGCGTCGTCTGGTGTTGAGGACATAGTGGCGTGACGCTGGGGGGGTTGGGGCGGGCTCAATGGCTTGGTGTTGCTGGTTGCGTGACCTCCGCTTTTGGCGGCCGTCAACTTTTTGAATGAGTGACGTCGTTTGGGGGTTGCAGGCTTATCGTTATCGGGGGTT